GGAGCAGTGTTGGGCAAGGTTTATGGCCCACTACCACATACACAGCTATATACACTGTCAGGTTTTATACAAGCAGAAAGACATATAATAAAATAAATAAGAGAATAAAAAACAAATTAGGAGTTCCCGGGTCTTATCTCTAAGCTTGGGGAGCTGGTGAAGAGATGGATGGAGGAGTTAGAAGGGGGGAAAAAAAAACGACTGAGTGTAGAGACGACTTTAGGTGTTTTGAATGGCATTATGTTGGCTGACAGGGGGCCAAGTGGCAAAAAAAAAAAACAACGTGAAAAGTGAAAAGACAAAAATGAGATTCTTACACAAGATGATTTTCAAGGAGAATTAGCGGGGGGGGGGGGGGAAAAAAAAAAAAAAAAAAAAATAAAAAAAGTCTCATGGCGACAGGAGTAAACCTTTTCAGCACTTGAAGGGTGTGAATTGCACATCGCTGTTTAAACAAGAACTAATCTTTGTCAAATCACTTCAATGTTTTGTGAGCCCAAGAATGACTTTCAATTGGGAAGGGAGAGGATCAAGAGTGTTTTGGATGAGCTCTGTTTGAGAACAGGGTGACAAAAGAGGACACAGTCACATAAAAGGCTGCTGAATACGAGAACGGCTGTACACAAGAAGATTGCATCTCCTCACACCAATAAAAAGCTCCTGTGGTAAAGTCGTAAAAATCTATGATGGTGATGTGAATATGACCACCCTTTTATCAACAGTGCCAAAAGCATATTTCATCCACAAACCAAAATACTGTCATGTTTTCGTGGCAAGACACTTCATATCGATTGTTAATTTGAGTCACATCTTGAAAGCGCCCATTTTTTAATTAGCTCCCATTATTTTTTGAATATTTGTGCAATGCGACCCCATTGAAAGCCCGGAAAATAATGCACAAACGTTTCCTAGAAGTTTACCGTTGAAGTCGATGACGACCGCGTGAGCTGAAGAACAGAGCAGTTTCTAGGTCATATTAGTGAGCCCATTAGCATTTGCTTGCTGCAAGCTTTTTTTTTTTTTTTTTAACACTCCACAACACAGCTTGTGTTTGAGCAGGAATCCTTCCCATGGCTATAAAGCCTCATTTCAATAAAGTCAAGTAATATTTACACACACTGTATATCTGTGCTGCAGCTCATCAACTAGCGGTGCATGGGAGCCCTCTTTTACTGCTGCTGCTAGTGCTCACAAACTTTACTTTTCATACAGGACTATAAACAGCATAAAAAAAAAGAGGTCTTTAAAAAAAAAAGAGAGAGAGAGAGAGAGATGAGGTTGAAAATTGAGAGCAATGTTTGTTTTTCTATTCGCTGGGATGCAGGCAGGGAGCACTGCTAGAACATTATTACATCAATGAGCTTATACGGGGAGTCAATATCTCAGTTTAGTCGGCGAGCGTCATATGAAAATAAGTTAATGTACAACCAAACCATCAGATAGGATTAATAATGCATTGGGGTGTTTGCATCTGCTCTATAGATGCATCAAGCAGCATTGCAGATCAAACACAGTTCAAGTAAACTCGGATTTTTATTACATTCTATATAGATCATGAAGTTGAGGGTGAGCAGCAAACAACTCCCCTCATAATTATTTTAGTATCCATCGCTTTTTTTTTTTGTTTTGCAACGATTCAGACCACATCTGCAATATAAAGCCGATTTTGTTGTTTGAGCCCGTTCTCATCGAAATTCCTCTTACCTCGCAATACTCCAGTCGGGTTCAATTTTGAGGATGGTGGGATCATCCGAGTAGTTGAACTTGACCTCTGGGTTTCTCAGCTCGGCTGAATTGATGTCCACCATGACCGGGGTGGGGCCTGGAGCTTGTCCAGATGGGGTCACACAAACTATCTCGGTGCTGTTTCGCCTGGATGGGCAGGAGATCATGGGAGCGGTTAGAGGGACGCGTTAGTCACGAAAAGGTTGGTTGCTGAGGGGCGGAAAGAAAAAGAGCATCATTTCTACTGAAGTGACTCAAATTATTGAACATTTGCATCCAAAACAAACTTTATGTCGGTCGCATGTCTCACAAGTCACAACTTTTTTTTCTGCGTGGCAGCAGTTTCATCTGTCAGCCATCTAGCTCCCCCTACTGCGCCCTGTCTTGCTGAAAGATCAGATGTGACAGACGAAGCTGGTGGTCTCTGTGCGTGATGTCACGGCATCACGAGCAGACAGGCGACCAGCTGTGACCTGCAGGGAAACTTTGTGTTTCACTCCAGAGGTTTATTTTAGCGGTCCTGCAATGTCAGGGTGAAAGACTGTAGCCACGCAATAGCAGATAGGCCTCCCATGAGTCCATCTGTCTGAGCGTGTAAAAAGGTGCTTGCGCACAGTGTGGGGGTCGGCCAATTTGCATATAAATACGGTAAACGCAGGTAGAACTCCCGAGCTTTCGCTCTCTGCAAATGTGAACAAGCTGCCCAAATGGCACGTGGCGCAGTGTGAAATTCTGAGTAGGAATTGAACACACGGATCTATACCCCCCACCCCCCAACCCCTCTCCGTCTCTCGTCTGCAGGGAAGCTGGAATCCGCAGAGAGCCAGGAGATGATGGGGAGGATGATGAAGTGTGGCTTTCCCCTGACAGCTTGCAGTGAGGTGGAGACAGGAGAGAATGGAAACATTAAAAAAAAAAATTAGGCGTGGAACGAAAACCGGTTTGAATCGGAAAATCGGTTTTGGTTCAAGAGACGTGAGTGCATCGAATCAAATCGTTCCACTTCAAAATGCATAAATGCACGTTGAACGTGCTGACAAGTTCATTCATACCGGAAAATGACAAGATTATTGCGTCATACCCTCTCCAACGATGCCATCTCGAATCAAACAGATCCACTCCACTCTAAAACGAACCGTGAATTGTATCTCACCTCAATCGTCTTTCATTGGAGAGACGCAAACCCTCAGTACAAATATATACATTTTGTGTATACTACACAAAACATGGAATCCATAGTTGTTTTTTGTGCATCTCATCCCTGCTGCCACTCAGGACGCAATTTGAACCTCTTTCCCCGTGGCATATGCGCACACTGAGAGCGGACTGAAACGGGGGCTGAATATCGAAGAAAAGGAGGATGACTTTTTAAAAGAGGGTTTTCCACATTCCACTAGTCCTCTGTTTCCATGGTAACTATTTTCACAACACTGTCACCGCTGAGCGTGCCTGTGGTGTCACGTATGTATTTCTGACAAGGTTGCGGCCAACACAAAAGAAAGCCAACGGGGGGAGAGAGAGCGAAAGAAAACACGAAAGAAGGAAAACGCGTTGCGGCGGGAGATAAGCGGATGAGTGACTCGGGGTAAATACGTTTTGATTAAAGTTGAGGCCCCGCTGCATAGAAAGACACATTAAAAAGACAGACACATCCAGTTCATTACTTTGGCCATAAAGGTTATTGCTGCTCAGTGGATGAAAGGCCAAGACTATTATGTTCACCTTTCTCGGGGTGTGCTACAGAGCTTTAAATTGGCCTTTGCTACCACATAAAAAGAACTTGAGAGGTCCAAGCTCATTAGCTGGACCTGTCACTTGTTGCGGTTGAAGAGGAAACTACTACAAGAAAAACAAATACAAGAGAGAACGAGAATAGAATTCAAAACGTTGGGCTTCAAAGCACTAGATAAGCAGGTAAAACCTTTCATCATCATTTCTCATTTATTTCTTAAAAGGAACCGCGCAACTCACACATTGAATCAATATACGACCAGGAAACAGACCAAAGTGTTGTAGCTTGCTAGCTTGCGGTGTGTGTTGTCACTAATTGTTAAAAGTTAGTTGACATTACATAACTCCTTTTGTTGAAATGAAACACATTTGCCAAGTGTTTAAAGAGTGTTAGATTGCTACAATATGTTATTGTAATATAATATTAGAATGTTTGACTTATTCTAATGTGCATATGAAGGGCTGGGTAATTTAAATATATATATTTTTTGCACCACTTACTTTGTGTCGGCGGATGCAAACTTTTGCTATCAAGAAAAATAAAGAGAATGTAAATAAAAAAAAAAGAGAAAAAAAACAATTATATTGTTGTCATGAGTGTCTTATACACAAAGGGGAGACAATTTCTATTTGAATAGGAAATGTGATTTTTGTAAGAGGAAAAAAAAGAGATTTGATGAAGATAGAGCATCTCGCAAACCAATAAAGCTAAAATGTGTTCTGTGACATTTACGCACAAATGCGATTTACAGGATGCACACAGAACCCTTGTCTTCGTAACTAGCCATAGCCACTAGTTTAAAAAAAAAACGGAAAAATGCAGAGGAGAGCAAAATATGAGTTTTTAACACCATGATAGTTCCATGGAATGTCGAGTGATGTCTGATCAATGCCTATATTGACACAAAAATGACAGCAGCCTCACTGTCATTCTTATAATTCCTACAAGTCATCCACCTACCAGGATCTTTTTTACAATTTGCTGCAAATCAAGGTTATGTTTCCGCAATTCCGAAACACTCGAGCATAGCTCGACTAATAACTGGTATAGCTGGGGTTTAAAACAAAAATAAAAATAAATGAATAAATAAAAGGGAGCAATGATGTAGTGTGCTTATATACAGTATGACAATGTACTGTAATAAAATGGGCACCGGGGTCACTCACTTCTCATAGCGGCAGGCGTGGAGTCCGATCTTTACATGCACAGCACTGCCGGCGTTCAGGTTACTGCCATCTATGGTGATTCTCGTGCCGCCAGACAGCGGCCCGGTTGACGGCCTGACGCGGGTGAAGTACGGCGACTGAGAAGGGACACGCATAGACAAGAAGACAGGTCAAGCGCGGCCGGCCGTGGGGCCCGCAAGAGGCTGGCTCCATCCCGACGCATCGGCTCTTACCACAAAGGTGAACGCCTTGGTGGAAACGGCTTTGTAGTCTGGATGAATGCAGTCCCGAACACACACCTCCACTTGAGCCTCCTGCACCCGGTAGCCTGTTGCGTCATTCAGTCGACACACAATCCTAAAACAGACAGATAGATGCCTTGGCTTGAATATTTTCAGATCATATAGTGAGGAACAAGGCTGACAAAAGAGAAAGAAGAAGGGGACAAACACAATTTTTTTTTCCCTTTCCGGTGCTCGTCTTAATTGGTGTCGCAAAAGCCTCATCTCAGTTGACTGCTCGGCAGCCAATTGCAGGGTACAAAAATTCACACTCAAATTCCCACGTATGGGCAATACCACGGTGTTTCGTAATGCAGCTGTCATTTTTAAAGACAGTGTTTCAATAGTCTTTTAGGCATAAAGAAAAAAAAAAAAAGAAAGACCAATTACAGAACCATAAGCCTCACATTTGGCCCGTGGCGCTGGCCGGTCAAATGAAAATCCAGTAAAGAAATGACTGCAGTCTAGCCCGCAGGGCAAACACTTTCACACATTTCACCCAATGAAGTCATGCTTGACTTTTAATTAGCCAGAGGGAAGGAATGAGACAGAAAGAAAGGCCGGGAAAGAAGAAAGCAAGCAAGAAAGAAAGAAAGGCGAGGCTCGAAGAAAGTGCGAAGGAAGAGGCAGGGAGAGTAAGCGGGTTAAAGTGAGCGAGGCTGATTAATTGAACAAGCTCATATCCTACACATCTCCTCGGCTTCCCTCACTCCCCGAGATGAGTTATGAACTCCCCAGTTTCCAGTCTCGCAGCAGGTGGTCATGGCAACTGCGGTGCCACTGCATTTCATGTTCTGATGCGGTATGTTGTCTGTCCATTGTTTCTATTTTCCTTCTCATTTATTCCCTCGGACTCCCACTAAGAGCTGTGATTAAAATGCTGGACAGCTCTCGGTAAGAAAGGCGGCTCCACTTGCATCACGTTCGCCAAAATGAGATGCCGGTGAAGTGAGAGGTGATTAAATCGCCATAAAGTGAATGTTCATGCTGAATTGATGGCAAGTGGATGAAATATGCCTTATTGCATTGGTGGAACGACATGACATTTGACATGTCAAAATCTATTAGTGGGATGTAAATCCAAGGATAAAAAAAAAACTAAAGATATCCACTAGGTGCAGTGAAATTAAAATGACATGCTCATTGTTTGAGGGCGGCCCAGTGGAGCAGTGGTTAGCGCGTTGACTTCACAGTGCAGATATCCAGGTGCAGTGAAATTAAAATGACATGCTCGTTGTTTGAGGACGGCCCGGTGGAGCAGTGGTTAGCGCGTTGACTTCACAGTGCAGAGGTCGTGGGTTCGATCCCAGCTCCGGCCTTCCTGTGTGAAGTTTGCACGTTCTGCATGGGTTTTCTCCGGGTATTACGGTTTCCTCCCACATTCCAAAAACATGCATGGCAGGCTGCTTGAGGTGTGAGTGTGAGCGCGGATGGTTGTTCGTCTCTGTGTGCCCTGCAATTGGTGGGCAACCGGTTCAGGGTGTCCCCCGCCTACTGCCCGAAGACGGCTGGGATAGGCTCCAGCACCCACCGTGACCCTTGTGGCGATAAAGCGGATCGGAATATGGATGGATGGGTGTTGGTAAAGAGTGCTGACGCATGCTCGCCAATCCAAGTTGGGACTCCCACAAGGTGGCTGTCTTCCTTCCACCGTTCGGGAATGTGGCCAATCTACTTTTGTCATTGTTGCTCGTCACTCTTTTGAACAATCAAATATAGAGACAACGTTTCTTCCTCTACAACACGCAAGACAAAAATCATTGCGCTTGCTCACTGGCAACGGCAACACACACGCACATCAAAATAAATGCGTGGCTTTCAAATAAAAGCCTATTTTATGTTTCATTCTGACCTTATGAGGTCAGCAAAGGTCGGTCAGTAACTGTGGACAAGGCGAGATCTGCTACTTTTCCCGGGACTGCTCTAGATGTTAAAACTGTTCAATAAGATGACCAACGGGTATAATTTTTTTAATGTAAAAAAACTGAAAATGAATGATTATTTTAAACATGGGAAAATAAAAATGGGGTCACATTCTGGTGTCATTTCTGGCAGGAATTAGGTTCAATTCACTTTCGCGCTCTTTCTTGAACTGTTTTTATTTGTGCCAAACTATCAGTGCAAATCATTGTTCTCTTCCAGCAGCTGACCTTCGATCTACAGCGTGAGTCGCATAATCTTGCGTCGCGTGTGTTACAGGCAGCTCTGACAGGGTCACGGGAATGAAGAGAGTAACCGGGCCACTAATGGCGCCGCATGGCTAACATCACTTTTAATTATCGGGACAGCTTGACTGCCAACTGCGGCCCCTCCTGCTCCTCTTCTGGGTGCCATGACAACAAACCAGTAAATGTAGAGTGTAACAGAGCAGACGGGGTTAAAAATTGACACCTCTGTGGTTTTGGATGCTATGAAAAAGACAAAAAGGAGCGTGCGGTTAGAGAAAACTTAGAACAAAGGGTCACCGAACATTTTGCGCCAGCAGGCAGACGCGCCGTCGATGTTCCCTGTGACTATGATAATCGGAGTTTATGAATTATAAAACAACGCAAACATGTCAACAGCATATTTCTAAAGCCATTTCGGGGACACCTGTCATCCCCGGCTGGAGCTGTACAACATTGTTTGTCTTCTGTCAAAGGATCAAAGTCAAATTTGTGACGTTTCCTTCCCTGTGACAGACGCGCAGATGAGAAATCTGCTGGGACTTGTGCAAAACTCAGCAAGTCTCTCGTTTGAGTCCAAATGACAGCGACGGCACTGAAAATAGAATATTGAGGACACCTCCAGCACCCAAGTGGGGGTGGTAAGCACCCACCCTCACCTAATTTGTCCCCCTCTAATACCGTATCTGTATCACCTTTTCATTTTAAGTCAATTTCAAAGAAATAGAAAGAGTGGGATCATTAAAAAAAAAATAATAATAAAAAACATTGGTAGAACACAACCACTGCATTTGTTTGTCCTATTTACAGTGAAAAATCGAGTGAACCGCAAGCTCCTGCGCGCTATCAGCTCCAATCATATTTCTCCCTTAATATAGTGTTGTAGTTAGTAAAAGGAAGTCAGCCTGCGCCCAAATGGTCCAGAAATTTCCCAGAAAACATGACTTAATCAGTGGGAGTGTTCAACATGGCAAAGCTTTCACGAATATATACCACCCAACTCAAATGTCATTACACCGCTGTCAGAAGGGGCCTGATTTACTGTGATGAAGGGGGTTAAATGGGGGTAATTCAATTGTGATTGGGCTATAATTCTGATTGATAGTGGAGTCAAATGTTTCATGTTAAATTGGCTGCCATTTGTCTTCACGTGGACCTGCACTTTAAGTAAGAGCCCCGCGCAGAACGAGAACAGATTTTGGTTTGGATGCAGGAGCCGACGCTGACATTGTCAGAAGCAAAAAAAAAAAGAAGAGAGTTAAGATGATGTCAACATACTGCTCAGCACTGATGTACTGGTCTTCTTGAGGGTTGCAGGCCACTTTTCCAATTCGGACTCCATTCTGGATGTCTCTGAACTGGAGACCTAAATTCTCACCGGTGATGGTCAGCATGGTTCCTCCCTGCCTGGGCCCCGTCTCAGGAAATAGCTGCAGGGCACAAGCAATGAAAGAACATCTCAGCGTTAAAAGTAAAAAAACTAAATAAATAACATTCCTTGAGACAAGTCGCTGACCCTGATATTCATTTGGTACGACTTCAGATTCACCCACCCGGCCCCTCACTTACATCTCTCTTTTGACCCCGGCGCGATTAATCTACTGAACACAATTACAGCACACAGTGACCTCCGATCCCTCCATTTCCCCTTGAGTTCCGCGAAAGGTGTGCAGAGGTGCTAATGGCCACCCAAGACGAACCGTGTCGCTAATCACCGCGCCAATTCAGCCGCAGCATGGACGCGGACAACGGTCCCTCTGGTAATCAGTCATTACGAGGATAATTAGGGCTAAGGCTAATTGGATTAGAAATTGATGGAGGGGTGGGGTCATCTGTCACGTCATATCGGAGGAGGGTAAAACATATGCGGATGTGTTGGGTATCATGCGGTTTCGGTGTGGTAACACTTGCACTTTGCTTGAAGTAAACATGTCCGCTTGTGAGACGATTTGGTATATTCCGCGTTTGTTCGCGATACCGTCGCAAAAAAAAAAAAAAAAAAAAAAAGGGTTCCTACCAATGATGTCAAACGAAAAAAAGCATTACATGTTCATTGGCAACTGCCTTTGTAGCTAATACAGTGATCCCTCGCTATTTTGCGGTTCGTTTATCGCGGATTCGGTGCATTGCGGATTTTTTTAAAACATATTCATTTAAAAAACAAAAAACAAAAAAATCATATACATGGAGTACAGTGTACTCCATGTATGTATGTGACTCGCTGTTGTTTTGCAGCTTCTCACGGACTGTTTGCGGACTTTTTTTTTTTTACCTGTATATGTTAATTGGTCGCTACTTCGCGGATTTTCGTTTATCGCGGGTGGTTTTGGTCCCCATTAACCGCGATAAACGAGGGATTACTGTAGTGACATCGTAAAGTTTCGCGTTTTGATGACTTCGGATGGGAATGGGCTCGGCAGCGTAGGAGGATTCCTCACGGCCGCCCACTATCGCACATTCTCAGATAAACTATCAGCCTACATGCTGCTGTCTCTTCACAGGCTACCTCACAAGAATTTCCGCGGCGAACATCTGAAGGAAAATAAATTCACTCACGTCACACCGATGTTGACGACACTGAGCAGAAACAAAATGGCAGGGGAGCGAAGCCGAGTGTCTGGCGGGCCCAATCTGAAAGGCCACAGTGCTATAACGATGGCGTGTTCTCTTTCTTACGCTAACAAAGCTTATGGTGAATATCTTTTGCTCTCTCCCGTGCCCTTTTCCGTCTTCCTCTCTGCTTTTGTGCCTTTTCAACTCACTCGCCCCTTTTTTCGGCGTGCATGAACGCACGTGTTTCGGCGAGAGACAAAAGAATGATTGGCACACGGCGGCGCAGTAGTCCAAAGTCTCCAGATATATGGTAATCAAATCTCTTGCTCTGTTCGGCCCGGCTTATCAAAACACACCCAAATAGAAAACTTGTCATTTTTCACACGAGACACCACAAACAAAAAGCAGTCGTTCATAAAAGCAGCCGCCAGCTCAAACACTCGCTGCTCTCTTCTCGCCTCGTAGTCACAGCTCTTGATTTCCATTCAAAGTCGCTTTTCTTTTTTTTTTCTCATTCTCATCTACAACTTGTCCCGTTATGTCAAAAGGCTTTACGCCAGACCTATTGTGGCCGCTCGAGCAGCGGTGCAGAGATAACATCTACTGGTTAGAAAACGGGGAGAAATTGATGCGGCAGAGGGCACAGACGGACAGATTGTAAAAAGACCATGTGAGGCTTTGCGCAAGTTTATCGGCTATGGCGCCGACCCTCAAAAGTAACTCGTTTCAAGTTTGCAAAATGTTCTTGTTTGCTGATAAGAAAAATCCGAGTACATCGGGAACAAATATTTGCAGCAAAAATGGAATATTTTCTTAAATAGAGGGGCCATTTTTCGACATATTATCAACGTATTTAAAGCCTTTCTCCATATATATGTTGTAGAGCGGTTAGCATTGCTGCCTCACAGCAAGAAAGCCCCTGGTTTGAGCCCAACCGCTCTTCTTAACACCTGACTTCAGGGACTTTCTGTGTGGCGTTTTCGTCTTCTCTCTCCTTTGGTTTCCCTCGACTACCACAAACATGCAAGGGTAATTTCCAGTCTGCTTCATTGACCAAAGTGCTGACACAAGATCCTGATTCACAAGGGGGGCCGCCGACCACTGCTCCTCCGGGACGGCTTCAACGCGGAGAACTCATTTAGCTCAACAAATAACAAATATTTGAAACATAAACATTTTACAGTAGATTAGAATGCACTATAGCATGGCAGAATATATATTTGACTAACCGTCTCGGGTAGGGTGTATTTTTGCAACACACCCTAAAAATTATGCTTGGATGGAAAAAAAAAATTAGTCGGCCACATGCTAGCACAGTGAAAAGGCACTCCTCCCTCCCCAGCGCAAATATAGGCATGGGTTGTTTTAATTGGTTTCTAAGGGCTAGCTCTAATGCTTTTTCATTCTCCAAGGGGAGAACCGGTCTGAGAAGATGGATGATGGAGGACCAAGCAGCATCCAAGGCCATTACTAGGACAATGCTGCACTACACTGGAGGACAAGATGTGTGTGTGTGTGTGTGTGTGTACATGCGTGCGTGTGTGCCGTAGCCTATTTGATCTGTTTCGTTCCAAATCGAAAACTTTCTGGACTTTTCTTGACACCGTTCTCTGTCAGCTGATTCAATTGTGCTCACGATGGCTATCGTGGGCGGGGTGGTGGGGGGGGGGGACAAACACAAGTGCCACACCAATCCTAAGAACCCTTTCATCATCATTTGCTGTGTTTGGAGACCATTGTATGCTCCAAAGCTATTAGTGGAACAGTACCCAACTGCATATTATTGAGGGGAAAAAAACAAAACATCAATTGGGTCATGCATACGCTGTAATGACACCAAATGGCCACATTTGCCGCCCTGGGAGTTTTGGGGAGTAAATGTGTTTGTGTTTGTGTGTGTATTTCACAGTTCCGTGGTATTTCCTTCTACATCTTGACATACAATTCTCAAGTGCAAATGAAAATGAAATTAACAGCTGGCTATTACACTGCAACTAGCGGTACAATTAAAAAAAAAAAAAAAAAAAAAAAGTGGAGTTATATTCAATTTGTGTGTTCTTCCGGAGAACTAAAGAATGAAATAGCTGCAGAGGAGAGATTCCCTCTGTCGCCTACAGATGTTCTTTCGGCGTTAAATGTCACACTGTAAATGTCAAAGGTGGAGAGGAGAGGTGAGGCTCGCGGGCAGGCTCGCTGAGAAACAATCCTCTCCAATGGCTCACTGGTGAAGCGCTTCTTGTTTGTCCCTGCTGCGCTCCAGCTAAGTTCTCCTTCCTGCTGTTCGTGTTTTTTCGACGACGCTTGCTTTTTGACTGCCACCGACATCTTGCCCCGAGGCCAGGATTTATGCCTCAATATGCACGCACTTGCAGGCAGACGCGCAGCAAACAGCGCTAGCCCATCACCACCCGGTCTCTCACATGTACACACGCACACAACCCTCGGCTCCGTACGCTTGTTTCAAAGCGATAACTGAGTGAGTGAGGAAGGAGAGAGAGAGAGCGAAATGACATTAACGAAAGGATTTATCAATGTGCTCGTGCCCCAATTATCCAGTACCTTCATTATGTATTCAGAAGGAGGTCCCAGAAGTCGCATTGGAAGTATACTCAGGGCTCAAGCAAGCGTGGAATGTGTATGCAGACATATTTCACGCCATTTAAAAAAGGAAAACTGGCATTTTTTTATCCCCCCTGGCAACCCGCCCCTCCCTCCAAATGAGATGACTATTCGTGTTGTTTTGAAGGCCTCAAACATGCCAATGGATGGCTATCGTGTATGTGTGTGTGTTCATAAACAATATGCTATTCTCTGTGGTGGGCTGTGATGACCCAGGTCACAGCGAGACATGGGCCACCTCCACGCTTATGGATGGCAACAGATGGAAACACCGCAGTGTATATACGCCTCAGCCCACCCGGCATGTCAGATCTAGAGCACATACACGTACACACTCGGCGCTCATGGTGGGACACAATTAACACACTCCACATTCACTCCCCATACGCGCTTTCCAGGCAAACATACTCTGCTTTCCTTTGCTGTGGAGTGCTCCGGTCTACGTTTGTGTGTATTCATCATCTCTAATCACATCAGTGTGTTTCAGATTTGTGGTGTGTCGTGTGCGAATCGCCTCCTCCTGGTCGGCCCATCTGTGTTGTGCTTGCCGTCACGGTAATGGTGTCGAAGATGTCGACCCACCCTGCTGCCTTCAACCATGTTCACTTCTCTCACCGGGGCCGAACAATGATGCAGCAGAGTTCAACGTTCTTCTCCTTTTAATGGTTTGCCTTTGGCAGTCAGGGATTCCCGTCAACCCGGCAAATGGTGGACTTGGGAGTTTTCGGAGCAAGAGGCAATCAAACCTCAGTTACAAAGTGCGTACTGTCAGTTAAACCACGCTGCCCCCTTGCCCACCTCCCTTACACAAACCTGACATGTTTGATATTTGGAATGTGGGAGTTGCTGGGCAACACACACACACACACAGACACACACACAACAGAAGGAGGCGAGGGATGAGTATTTGTTCAATTTACAGGCTCGAGGACATGCTTCCTGTATCTGGTATGTCAAAAACTAATAAGAGGAAGGTTTGTATCGGAAAAGAAGAGTGAAACAATTGCGCAGAATATGATACAGGCACGTCCTTGTCTCAAATGCTGCTTATATTTGAATCTTGTGAAGACAATTCATGTGCAACAATGTGGATATGTATTCATTTAATCGCTGGGCTGTGAGAAACACCTACAGTGGTTCCTCTACTTACGAAATTAATTGGTTCTGGAAGAAATTTTTTAACTCGAAAATTTTGTAAGTAGAGACATGTTTTGCATATAAATGCCCTAATTCGTTCCAAGCCCCACCAAAATTCAGACGTAAATGTTTCCTAAAGCATAAAATGCATCAACATATGTAACAAATACATGTTACAATTAGACTATTGAACAATGAATCACAGTTGTGTAAAAAACAAAGAATAAAGAATAAAAATCATGCTCATTTAACTTTTAACTGCGTCCTCATCGTTTTTTGCCCTCTTTAGTCCATGTTCTCTCTCAGAAGTGGTTTTTGCCTGGCGTTTTGTCAAGAACTGATCCAAGGGTGTTTGCTTTTGTCAGCTTTTAACAATCCGTCGAAAATGTCCAAGGCAAACATCAGCATAGTGAGCGCTCACCTGACTGGTGAACACTTTTTCTGGGGGATTCACATTTACGTTAAACCATCACAACACCTGATGGTGGGGTGAATGACGAGTATCTACGCACATAGACTCATACGATAGAGGTCGCCTCTTAGCCAATGGGATACCAGTTTGATGCTTGGTAATAGCCAATGGTATCTTGAAATTTCTTTCGTAACAAGAGGCAATATTTTCCTGTTGAGACGTTTCGTAACTTGAAAATTTCATATGAAGAGACGTTTGTAAGTCGAGTTACCACTGTATGTCCACTTCTGTCATATTTTAAACATTTTATCTTCATAGGATGTCCAAAAAAAACCTGACAAATGGACATACGTGTTTAATCACAGGACAGTGACGGTTCGCTCTTCTATCAGTGGTTCTTGAGACCGTACTTTGGAGCATGGCTATATGCTGCTTCGTGCTTGTCTCATGTCAGGAACACGGCTCACCTTGGTGATCTTGGGGTGCGCACAGCGGCTGTTTCCCGTGGTGGCGTGCATCCAAGTGCTTTCTGTCGGAATGCACTCCTGCCTGAGGGAGCACTTTTTCTCTTGCACACACCAGCCGCACTCAAATCTAGGGTTGGCCTTCAGACACATGCCACAGCTGTCTCTCAATGCGTAGCATTTATACAGGTGAGCTGTGGGAGACAGGAAGAACATTTTATGGCAGGGAAAGACGGACTAAGCAATCCGGAAGGCTTTCACCGATTGAAGATAAAAAAAAACATTTTCTGATTAACTTTTCGTTAGCATTTCAAAAACTGGTTCAATGTCACCATCTAAAAGCAATATTTCCCCTAAATGCCCCAGGAATTGTACAGCGGAATCTTTTCTTCTCTCCGCTATTCCATCCCCAAATCCCATTGGTCATGGAGCAGCTTTAAAGCAACCCCGTACCAATTACTGTCTGCTAAATGGCTCCGTCCTAATTACATTAACATATCAGAATTTTCGAAAATTTCTCATGCGACACAAGATGATTATCGTGATTGAGAAATAGGATAGGAGCTGGCAGGGAACTAAGATAGGCAGGAGGAAGAAAAATATCTTTAGGCTGTCGCTTTCGGAGGCGCAATAGTGTATAAAACCTACAGACTCCCAGAAAGGCTAAAATTGTGTTGAACATGAAAGACGTCATTTTGAAATGCGGTGACCTTGAAAGTACAACAGGTTTGAATCGTATTATCAAGGCTTTGTGTATGGAGGCTCATAATTTGATGGAACATGTACAAGTGAAATAATATGCAGAATGTGAGATAGTACATCACAGATCAAACATAATAAGAAAATATACTCCAATTATAAACTCCATTTCATGAAAACCGACGCTTCTCTCTTGAGCTGTAATCATCAAACAGTGACAGTCAGAGCAAAGCACGCTGATGTTTTACAGAGACGTGTCATCTGCTGGCCATATTGACGGTGGCAATGACGTTACTTTACCACACAGCGGGGGAACGTGATGCCCCCCCTGCTGCGCTGTACGCTCTGTAATAATTTTGCAGCCGGCACTGTAAAGACACACCTACTAGCAATTACATCCAGCAGACATTATCTCATTGTCTGCTTCCACGGTGGTGCAATCGAATATGCCTTTAACCTTAAACATTATCGTTCTTGGGTTGGCAGGCTAGGAAGGTGTGGCGTCATTCAGTTTTAATCGTATATCCAGGGAATAGCAGGCTTTTGACCGGACGTAATTGTGACTGGCAGTCTTAAATGTATACACGGTAATGTCGAATTCGGGACAGTATGGTGAGCACGGGTTTCGTTGACATTCTTATGAGAGGCAGCATGCGTCAATTGAGTAACAAAGAATGTGTAGAAAAATGACTGCTTTCCTAGAACAGTTTTTCGAAACTGTATGCACTGATAAGCGGCGTTGAAAATGGACGGCTGGATAGATGCATGCGATTATCACTTTCCTTCATTTACGCATTTAACAATTTATTAATGTGCACAGAGCAGGAGTTGGCTGATGATTGTGAATGCAAAACTCCTTACCTTTAATGTTGTACGGGTTGTCGATATTAAAGTGTCCATTCCAAACCACAGACAAATCCACTGGCAGGTCGCTGATGTCATTGCCGTCATAGGTATACTGAAAGTTAAGAAGAAGAAAAAAAAAGTCGCTCAGCATTCACATTCAGATGAAATTCTGTAAAAGAATACTTTTCTCACGAGAGACGGACTTCAGAGTTTGCGAAAGGAAGAGAAGAACATGCCAAAATAAAAAAAAACAATCCAGTCGAGTTGGCGGCTGGTAGTAATGCCCTATCCTGCGCTGCAACCCAAGTTGAAGGGCCATAAAAATGACTGATGAGAGACAGGCTGTATTGTGATTTTAACACACCGCACATTCGCGCTGCCTGGCAGAGCACAGAGTTGATTAAGAGATTGTAATCCTCACCGCTGGATGACTCACTCCATTCAGTGATGAATGAAAAGCCTAATATATATTCCACAATAACATTCACATCTAATTTCATTTTTTTGCATCCTGAACTAATAAGAGCTGAAATGTAATTGACTCTTTGGCGGCATAATCAGTTTTATGGAATGACTTTAAATGAGACAACAAGATACCAAAGCAGCAACGCGATGGCAAGACATACAGCAATCTGTCTAATGAGAGACTCATAAATCATGAATGCTGAATATCATGCATAGATAAAATGCTGTTAATAACTTTTACCAAATCCCCCCCCCAAACTCCACTAATGCCGTTTGTGTGAAGTGCTGTGCATGCGTGACACCATGTCAGTTTGTGCTGGCACGTTATGTAAGCTAGCATGCCACTTAATATTTTTGATGAGCATCGTTTTTTTTGCTGGTGTGTAATTTTTTTTTAATGTGTACATACAAGTTGTATGTAACATGGGATCATGATTGTGTACAAGTTAGGTGCATGGCGTTGGCACTTTTTCGCTTGTCACAGCAAGGTTTCGGTTTTTCTCACTGCATAGCATACAGGATACACGAGATGACGTGTGACAGACACCTTGGCCAATAGCGAGGAAGACAGTCCATGCTAACCTAATGCCTCTGTCAGTCAAAGGCTAGCCCCTAACTGTCACTACCACTGCTACGGTCACTACCTTCAGTGGCCCCAGGATGAGAGATAGCAGGACTATTATCTTCTACAAGAGCGCCGATAAAATCCGATGTGAAAGCCCTGTTGGGCGCCTCGGGCTACGGCACAACACAGGCCTATTCTCGCAACAACTTTGCCACCATTTGATATCACCCACTCCAATGTGATATTGTGGAGTTTTATCATGACATCAGTAACAATAGTGAATTGGAATGTATTTGAAGGGGGTGGGGAGGGGGTGGCGAGTGGGAGGCCCTCAAGTACAAGAAATGTGTATAGAAAAGATAAGAAAATGAGAGCTAGGACAGACCAATGTCACAATGTGCGAGTGGCTGATTAATTCATTCTTCACGTTTGCGATTGGATGATTTACACCGAGCGAGCTCTAAAGGCATAGCGATATTCAAATTAGGGAGAATATCTCCATGCATCTCATGGGAACTCTGAGGTTGCGCTTGGAATTTTATTCCATTTAAAAAAAAAATACTTCAGACAATATTTCCCTTGCCGTTTGTTTGTTAAGGGAAAGTGACTTTCCTTTTGAACCAATTTCCTCAAAATCTTTGGAGGGCTAGGTGTGTTTTGGTAAGGACCCTTTTCACTTTTAGTCACAAGTGCACAGAGCCGAGGATTGTGTGTGTACAATGGTTATCGTCTGCAGTGGTTGAGGACTTGCTATGATGCTGCTTCCGTACCGCAGTTTTACTTCAAAATAGTACAAACAGATCCATCGACATCATCATTGAAAATTAAGCCACAGCACAGTAGCAGTAGTAAGAGTTGAGACGGCTCTTAGAGGTACTGCCATCCTTGTGTTTGTACCAGGTCGAAATTGCGTCATAATTTTGTAACCGCAAGACAAACACAGCAGCATTAGTGTATTGGTGTTGAACCAATAGAGGAAGATCATTAAAATGAAAAATGAGAAGAGAAAAAAAAAGCATCAGATGGTGGTGGTGAACGAGCCAAAGTGAAGTTGAGGTGTGGTGATAAAAGCGACAAAGAGCAACGGGGCGGCGAACTGGGCAAGGGCGAGAGGATAACACAGCAGCAAGGGTGAAGGAGAAATGGCCAAGCGCAAGATGGATCGAGAGAGGTTATTGTGTGTTATTCTGTGGACACCATTCATTTACACATGGAATAAGAGGCTACGGCTCAGCCATAAACGGCTAAGCTGGTGGGCCCTAAAGTGAAATTGGCA